TATAGGTATTCATCAATAATATATAGCATTGCTTGGCATTTTCTACATACATATCAAAGATTTGATCATACAATATCTGAGTTGATTTTTTTAACCATTGTTTTCCTCTTCACGCTTCACCCACCAGCAATTCCTTCTTTCTTAACTTCTCCATGATTATATACACAAACAGTGCATATACAAAGTCTGTAATATTGATACTTTTATTTAGATGGAATAGATTCTAAGCAGGTTATGTATTTTTTTAATTTTAAAATGTCCATGAAAAATGGATAAGCACCCTTTCCCCATATCCTCACTTTCGAAATTATGTCCTTCCAGTCAGAGAAGTATATTTATACCATTATTTTTTATTTCATTTCCCTCATCATTGCTACTGATGTGAAGAATCTTTTATACCTCATCTTCTTTGAATGACCATTCTATATCTTTTGTCCATTTTTCAAATTGAATTTTGTTGTCTTACCAATTTCGAAAGAATCCTTCTTATATAGTATCAATGGGGTTCAGGACACACTTCCTCAAAATATTGCACTTTGGCATATTAAATATATTAAACTGAAGGAATTTGGAAACAGCACATGCAGGAAGAATTTCTGACCTTTCCCTGAAATATTTCAGTTAACACCCGCTAGGCCCATCCATGTTGCAAACGGTAAGATTTCATTCTTTTTTATCAGTGAGTAATATTCAATTGTATATATATTACAGCTTTTTCATCCACTCGCCTACTGATGGGCATTTAGTTATTGTAAATAATGCTACACTTAACATAGAGGTGCATATATCTTTTTGAGTTAGTGTACTGTGTTTCTTCCATTATACACCCAGAAGTGGAATTGCTGGGTCATAAGGCAGTTCTATTTTTAAATTTTTGAGGAACCTCCATACTGTTTTCCATAGTAACTGTACCAATTTGCATTCCCACCAACAGTGCATGAGAGCTCCCTTTTCTCCACACCCTCGCCAACACTTCCTGTTTGTTGATAAATTGATAATAGCCATTCTGACAGGTGTGAGGTGATACCTCATTGTGGTTTTAATTTGCATTTCTCTGATGATTAGTGACTTTCCTCTCCTTTTCATGTTTATTGACCATCTGTATATCCTCTTTGGAGAAGTGTTTTTCAGGGCCCCTGCCCAATTTTTAATTAGTTTTCTGTTTTGTTTTGTTTTGATTTTGGGGTTTTTTGTTTTGTTTTTTTGGTGTTGAGTTGTATGAGTTCTTTATAAATTGTGGATATTAACCCCTTATCAGATATATCATCAGCCACTACCTTGTCCCATTTAGTAGACTGTCTTCATTTTGTTGATGGTTTCCTTTCCTGTGCAAAAACTTTTAGTTTGATGTAGTCCCATTTGTTTACTTTTTCTTTTGTTTCTCTTGTGAGGAGACATATCGAAAAAATATTGCTACAAGAAATATCCGAGATTTTCCTGCCTATGTATTCTTCTAGGATTTTTATGGTTTAAAGTCTTACATTTAAGTTGGAAATTACTTTTTATTTTGATTTAAAACAGGAATCCATTTTATTTTGTTCAAGTATGATAGGCATTGTACCAACACATTTACTTAATAATGCACTATCTTCTCAATGAATTAAAATATACTTGTCTACTTTTAAATTATTTTATATAGTGGAATCTATACCTGGATTCTCTCCTCTACTAATCTATTTGCCTATTCTTATGCCAATATCATACTGATTTCATCACAGTGATTTTATAGTATGATCTGACATCTGATAAGGCAAGTTCCCTCTTAATCTTTTTCCCCCTGAAAGATCTTGTCACTCCCTTCTCCGCTCCATACATGCTTAAGATAATATCATCCAAATTAAAAAAAACAACAACATACATCAGTTAGGTAAAATCAATTAAGAGACTTCCTGGAAGTACATTAAATGCATACATGAATTTTGGGAGAACTTACTTTTTTAAATATTAATTTGTCCTTCAGTAAAATTATACAGTTGTTTTTTAATTTGGAATTGTACCTTTCTGCCTAAATTTATTACTAAATATTACATAGAGTTATAGGTACTTTTTAAAAAAAAATATATATATATATATATTAATGATTTCAGAGAGAAGAAGGGAGAGGGAGAGAGAGAAAGATTGATGAGACAGAAACATTGATCGGCTGCCTTCTACATGACCCTTACTGGGAATTGAGCCAGCAACCCGGGCATGTGCCCTGACCAGGAATTGAACCTGAGACCTTTTGGTGCATGGGAGGCCACTCAACCAACTGAGCCACACTGGCTGGGTAGGTATCGGTGCTTTTGAGAATGAAATAGTTTTCCCCTATTTCCCTTTCTAAGTATTTACTACTTTAGTAGATTTTAAATTTTTTATCTAGCCATCTTATTAATTTTACAAGTCTTGAGTTTTTAAGTATTCAGTCAAATGGTTATGAGTATTTTAACCTTTCTTAAGTTTCTTAGTTATATCAGCCAGACCTTCCAAAAATACTGATTAAAATATTTATACAAGTTAATCCATATTTAGAACCTGATTTGACTTAAATTGTTACAGTATTTCATCTTTTGAAAAAATAGTTTGTCTTTTGTTAATAGGATATTTTATATTTAAGTAGTTTACTTACATTCCCGTTTAACTTAGAAACTTTAATAAGAATAGCTAGTTGATCACTGTCACATTTATCAATCCTTCATGGATTGACTGTCTGATATGGACCCATGTCTATATTCCTGAAATACACCCTATTAGGCCATAGGTATAATTCTTTTAATTAAATGATGTGTGAATTAAATACACTAGTATTTCCTTTTGAATTTTACATTTATATACTTCAGTGATGTTGGATCTTTTTTTTCTTTTTGTTTTCTCTTTTTTCTTTTATTCTACCTCTAGCAGGATTAGGCATTAAAACTATGCTGGATTCAAGGTAAGGAGTTTTACATATTTATGGTCAGGAGTAGTGCAAAAGGCAATGATCTTTCCTATTTTTTAACAGCTAGGTAACAATTACAAATCTGGTCATGGAGCACTTTTCTATGTACCTTAGTTACCTTTCTAATTGCTTTTACGGCAATGACCTATTCAAAGTTTTGTAATCACTGAGTAAATTTGAATCATTTGTATTTTGCTAGGACATCATTCGTTTCCTCTAGATTTCCCATTTCCACAGGACTGCAGGTGAATTAGCCTGTGACCGAACGGCCTGTGCCTGCGGCTGATCTCTCTCTAACCCTGCACCTTTGCTCCTCTCTCCCTCAACAATGAAGCTGTAGAGGGCTTCGCTATTTTCAGAGAATCACTACCGGGTGATGCGTCCTTTTTCTGTTTGTTTGTTTGCTTGTTCGTTTTCAGTTCTTTGATTCTGGCTTTTATCTGTATCAATTCCTTCTTCTTGATTTATTTTATTATTCTTTAATTTATTATGTTTGAAAAAGGAATTATTTTGTTGATGAAATAAAAAAAGTCTCAACAAGATTTGAGCCAAAGTAGTATAATCTAATAAAATGAAATTATTAGGCGGCAGGTCTAGCTCTATTAAGTCACATATGGCCTTTAGTAAACCATTTAATCTGTCTAGCTAATAGTTTCCACACCTGTAAAATGAAGAGAGACTACAGAACCTCAAGATTCCTGCTGGGTAAAATATTACACCTGATAAAACTGATAAACATGATGGAAGGGATAAGAGACACTAGATTGACTGGACTAGGGATCACTGCCTTTAGAAACAAGAAAACCTAAGAAAATTCAGTTTATCTACAATAGGGAATACAATGGAGAGCTACACTCAGCCTATGAATGTTCAGGTCATAATCAAGTGAACTCCCAAGATATTCCACAAACATGAACGCTCTACTACAAGATGTTATTAGAGAAAGTACATCTAAGTTACACTGAAGAAGGACAATGAAAGATTTTTAAAAAATAAAAGTACTGTGTTAGCAAACCATATCCTCATATATTTCTTAGAAGGAAATAACCTGGGATTAAAATAACCTGATACTCCATAAACTTTGTGATCTTGCAAACAAAAATTTATATATATATTTTACATACTTATTGGGAAAATAAATCACACTTACAGATTTGCAAAGAGTTTGAGACCTAAAAGAGGTTGAAAAGACCATTCTAAAATAGTAATCCAATTTTTTACCCTTGGTCTGTGATTAAGCTTTTCCATGGTCTTACTTTTGCTCTTTCACCAAAGAGACCTTTTCTTTGTCAGAGAGCTACAACTAGTAAAAACTCTAGTTTACATAAAGTCAAAACTTACCTTTGATATTCTCATCAATTTTCTTGATTTCAGTCTCCGGATCATGAGAAAATAGGACAATTCCCCATTCCTGAAAATATGCCTTTACATAGTATTTGGGGATAGTTATCTTAACTCCAAGATAGTTGTGTTTTTGAGGTTGACGGCCTTTAAAGAACATAGCATATGGACATAACACTAATTCTAAATTTTCTTCTAAAGGAAGATGGTTTCATCATTTATGAAGACAACATTTTATATTTTTAAAAATTTCTATAATGAAAACACTAATTCTGACAGAGGAACAGAGAGCTCTAAATTGAATTTCAAAATGCACTCAGAGAAAACAACTGCATTAAGTTAATGTATGTAAACTCATGCATTCTGCAGAATTCTTACACACATATTTACTCCACTAAATTCTTGGATATTGTAACACATAAAATTATTTTTTAAATTATTTTTTAAACTATGGATTATGTGTCAAAATATTATTCATGGGTGGATTTTAACATATCTTCAAATTTAGCCAAAAGTCAGTTTTGTATTCTTATTAATTCAGAAATAATAAATGCACAATATCATCACTTTAAGTGGTACTAAAAACACCATTTAGATTAATTCTTTGGGGAAATAAAGGGCAGGGAATACTTAGTGGAATGAAGTATAACATCATAACAGGGAGAACAAATTCCAAGATGGTAAACCAAGCTCTGTAAAACTCAGCACTCAAATTTAATAATTATACAAGAGTAATACTTACGGATACAATTCTGAAAGTCTTTCAGCTATTGCATAAGCTACCGGGTCTCTGTCCAAAGCATACAGAGTAATATCTGACTCTTTCTGCAAGATGGCTCTTGTGTGTCCTCCTGAACCAAATGTCATATCTAGAAAAATCTAGCCAACACAGAAAAAGAAAATTATCACTTAGTTTGAACAAAACTTATTCTTGCTAACTACCTTAATTTCTAGAAGCACATAATGATTTAATGATTTTCAGAGCTGATAGCAAATAAAAAAACAATTCTAATTTTTTGCCCAGAGTTCAATTTGTTATACAAGAGATCTGGATCAATTACGAGTGATCAATCCAAAAGAACTGGTCAGAGGATTAGTAAAATGATAATCTCTGGCAGAGGCTGGCCAATTCATGACAAATTTACACTTCACTCCATAAGGTCAAACTGGCCACAGTGTTGCATGCTGCCAGCTTTATAATGCATCCCAACACCTGGCTGGTAATGATATTTCCAACAATTTCTCATCATTTGGAGATTCCCAGAATTAGTGTCACTCACTTCATCTCAATTTCCCTAAATGCCTTATACTAAGCATAAAGATATTCAAGAATACAGTAAGAGTGAGAGAATATGGCTAATAATAAATGGTCACAGGACAAATGTTTAAAAATCTAACCTGTAAAATTGACAAATTAACAAATCTGACTTGGGTTAAATCCAAACACCTGGGGTAAATTCTAGCTTTGCCACTAAGCAGCTATATATCTTCGGGCAGTCACTTAAAATTCCAGTGCCTTATATTTCTCCAGGACTTAGAAAGAAAAAGAAGGTCTAGACAAAAGATATCACCAGTATCTACCTAACTGGTAAGGTGACATATAATTTCTCTTCTAAACCAAGACACTTTTGAGAGTGAAAGACATGCCAGTAATAATTTTCCCAGGACAACAGGACACAATGTATGGAGTGCATACCTTTAAATGCTAGGATCATTCTAGTTACACAATGAAGTTAATAGGATCTGAATCTACTCCTTGGCTATTTTACTTGGCCACACTATAAAGAAAATAGGTCACAGGTGGGCAAAAAACAGACCTGGGCCATAAGAAACACAAGAATGAACTAGTTGATTGTGGCTGCTCTGGAAGTAAAGACGCGCTCTGCACATCCCCCCAAAGTTATGCTCTTAGTTTAATGTGCCTTTTCAATAAGCTTTACTGATACCGTGAAAATAAAAACAATTATGCCAATAATAATATTGAATACCATGACAAATACAGACGCTATAAATCAGACTATAAAAATGTTTTAAAACATTTTAAAAGCCCAAAGAGGAATGCCTGTAATGGATCTGAGTATTTCCCTGCCCTGAGGCCATGACTTATTTCAGGGAGAGTGGTCAGAAGCAAGGAACAATTATGCTTTGATTTTTGTTTTCTACCAGCTACCATGCTGAGTCGCAGCCTCTGATGAAATCCTCAGGAAAGTTAGCCTACTATTTGAAGAATAATATGGATGAAATCTTCTGATCAAAATTGAGAAGAGGAGGGATGTAAAATATAAGAGATTAATGTGGTAAAAATGTACAAGCACTGCCTTTTAACATAAATGTGTTAGTATAACAACTGGGCCCTTCTATCACTGTCAGAAGGCAAGGGGACACACATTTTCAGCATTTCAAACAGTAACTTTAAAACAATACTTAGAATCTTATTATTTGTATGGTTGTTAGAATTACACACTTAAATCTCAGGATCAAATAATTTCCCTTCCTATTCTGTAAACTTATTTTATGCATCTACCTGTAGGTAAAAATCTTCCACCACTACCCTACCTGTAAAATTGCTAGTGGTTTAGCATAATTTCAACAAATAACTTTTCCCAGGCAAAACCATAAACCACTTTCTTGCTATGGCCCAATATCAAGCCTTGCTACAACTCTGGATTTAAACTAAGAGTATATCAAATAAAATAATTTGCATATGATTACTTTATCTCAAGCCAGGAAAGTCCCAATCAATATTTAAAAGGAAAAATCCTCGTCATTAAAAATATTCTGGAAAATGTAAGATGATGATTATAATTTACATGATTATTTTTTAATATATCATGATTATGCCCTTGGAGATGTACTGACAATCAAGAACGTTTCCATAGGAAAAAAATAATCCATTATTACCAGTCAAGTGTAACACAAAACAAAAAGTGGGAGACAAATGGGGATTTATGAAACTACAAGTGAACCCCACCACATGCCTTGGGTTAATAGGTGAATGGAGCCATCAACTTTCATTTTTAAAATTATAATATACATTGCTCATCAAATATAATAGTGAATCATCCAGCACCACAACTGAAAATGGAGGCAATTAGTTTTTCCCCTCTCTTGGGTCATTAACTTGACATAAGACCACTTTTTAATTTGTACAAGTTGATAATAAAATAAGAAGACTGGTCAAAATTTGTGCATAACAAATGTACAAGAACAAGTAAATCTGAATGTTTTAAAATAATCCTCTCTGTGTCTCTTCTATACATATATTCAAATGTATATCTTATGCTCCAAACATATATGAAACACTTTCTTTGAAATTACCTGATACAGTTTATCTAAAAGACAAACCCATATTTGATAACAAGAGTTTCCTCTGGTAATTTCACTTATCACTTTATAACCCTGGACAAATCACTTTAACTCTCTGAGGTTCAACGGCTTCATATAAGAAATGGGAATAAAATGTGCCCGTTTAAGCAGCTAGCTGGATGATGAACTGAGGAAGGATGGGCCCTCAACCACAGCGCTCCCAGTACTCCCAGAGACTTCCATGACCCTCTTTGGTGCCAGAGGATCTGCACAGGCACCTTAGGGAAAACTAAGCATGGTAATCGGGGAGTGATAAGAGACAGGAAGGCCTCTGCACAGCTCTGGAT